TTTGAAGGTAGAAAAAGGAATCTGAGGCAGTTCCATCAATGGCATCACTTTTTGCCTAATTATTCTATAAATCACCAGAGCAGCTGCAGGCCAATTAAGTTCAAAAATGTGCAGGTGGTCAGAGGAATGACTGGGAAAAAATGCACTCCTGTTTTAAGGGACCTTGTGTTTCTTAAAGGATATAAAAGGCAACAGCTTTTTAAATCAAGAGTAGCAAAGGGCCAAAATAGTTAAAATGAAAGAAATACTCAAATAAAAATGTAACGTGTGCCAGATGTAAGCAAATTAAATGGAACACTACAGAGGTGTTCCAAAAAATGCTCATAATATAGTTGAAGAGAATGGCTTCTTTCATTTTGTTATGACTTAAATACTAGGACAGTCTTTATATATAATTAAAACATTTTGAATAGCAGTGAATCCATGCCACTCCATCTCTGATCCCAACTTTGTGTCCTGCAACTACTGCCGTAAATGAAGTACAATCTTCATCATTACTGATAACACTGTTACTCAGTTCCTGTAGCCGTAAATAGAGGTCACTGTGTATTTACCCAGAAATCACTCCATGTGACCACATAAACAACCTGCACAGATTATGTTTTCTCACATTTTAGAAAAACATAGTCTGAAGCGAGTGAACTTGACCAATAGCCACGGTAATGCTATTACCATGCCCGAGAAGACTTAAATGTTTGGCTTAATGGCTATTATGTGTCCCAGCATACAAGGCCACATTGCCCCATCTTACTCCCTTTCACAGATCCCTACTTATAACAGTTTGTTCCCTGCCCCGCCCAGCTCCGCATATGCCTTGTACTGAGCTGAGATTTGCGAGGAACAGAAAAAATCACAAGTACTTCCATTCCTCAAGGAAGTGAAAGTACAACAGAAGAAATGGCAAGTATATACATAGCTATAAACATGATAGAAAACAGCAGTGCTATTTGAGAGTGCCCAGAAGTTTGTTGGTAAAATGTTTTATGTTGGCTTTCTTACTGAGCACTTATTAAGTGTGGAGACGAAGATAAAAGCTAGCATGAAAAAGGCAGACATATTACTTGATATCATGGGATTTACAATATGTATGGAAGACAGAACTAAACATGAGAAATACACATGATAATTAACATAAAGGAAAGAAGATATTCACAGAGAGTGACAGCAGGCACCTATTTTAGATAATGTGGTCAGAAACAGTTCTCAAAGGGGGAATCTTTTGAGCTGAGATTTGAAGCAAAAGTCATCCATGTAAAAGTCATGGGGAATGAAAGAAAAATGAAAACATATAAAAGTGTCCATAGAAACACTTGCATGTGAACGTTCATGGAAATATTATTCATTAAACAGCAGTGAAAACCATGCCATTCCCAAACCATGCCATAGCCAAAGCAGAAGCAACCTAAATGACCATCAACTAGTAACTTGAATTATGTGCCCCCAAAAGATAGTATATGTTGAAATTCTAATCTCCAGTACCTAAGAATACAACCTTATCAGGAAATAAATTAGTTAGATGAGATCATATTGGAATTGGGTAAATCTTTAATCCAGTATGACTGATGTCTTTGTAAGAAAACAGTGGGAAGACCCACAGAGAGAACGTCATACACATCAGAGGCTGGACTGACAGAGCTGCAAGCCATGGAACACCCTGAATATTGATGACCACCACCACAAGCCAGGACGAGGCAAGGAAGGATATGCTCGTGGTCTCAAAGACAGCACACCCCTGTCAACCTCTAATCTTCAGAACTGTGAGAGAATAAATGTATTTTGCTTGAAGTCACTTAGTCTGTGTCTCTTTCTAAGGACAGTCTTAGGAAACTAATACAGCTGGTGAACAGATGATTAAAATATTTTTCTTCTGCACAGTGAAATACTACACAGGCATAAAAAGAAAGGAATCACTGATACAAGCCACACCATCGGTGAGCTTCAATAACATTATGCCAAGTAAAAGAATCCAAATGCAAAAGGCCATATGTTGTATGATTTCATGTATATGTAATGTCCAGAAAAGGCAAATCTGTAGACAAAAGCAGATTATTGGTTGCCTGGGGCTAGGACTGCTTCTGGGAATTAACTGTAAACAGGCGTGAGGGATATTATGTGGGTGATGGAAATGTTGTAAATTGAGTTATGGTGATGACTGCCCAACTCAGTCAATTTACTAAAAGTCATTACATTCTATGCTTTTAAAAAGAAGTCATGGGAGACCGTGAGAACTGAGGCAAAAGAGGTTTGATAGTTTCTGGTCGTTTACAGACTGCTGTGGGCTAGAGCAGAGAAAATGCTGAGGAAAGGGTACAGGATGCTGAAGCAGAGGGCTTTGAGTCTAAGCCATGATGGGTGAGATTTTAGGATAAGCAGTTAGTAGTTCAGGGGGCCTCACATATTAAGCGGTGATGTTTCAGTTGCTTAGGACAAAGGTGTATGAGATATTTTTTATCCTTGGTGTATCTTTCATAGCTGGATTATAAAAATCAGGTTTGTATGTAGTGTTTATAGAACAAGGGGACTGATCATGGCTGACACAGCCTTGACCCCCATATTTTCACTCTTATCATCTCATCTCCCTTCCATGCTTGAGGCACTGCAGTGGAAGTTGTCTTGATATCCTGGGAGGACAAAAGACCTTTTCTCTTGGAGTTCCCTTATGGCACGCTAGATCGGAATCTGCCTGCCAGTGCAGGAGATACAGTTTCGATCCTTGGTCCAGAAAGATTCCACATGCCATGGAGCAGCTAAGCCTGTGCACCACAACTGCTTAACCCAAGCACTAGAGCCCACGGACCAAAACTACTGAGTTCATTGCTGCAGCTACTGAAGCCCATGCACCTAGAGTCTGTGTTCCACAGGAGAAGATGCCTCAGTGAGAATCACACACACCACAGCAAAGGGTAGCCCCCACTCATACGACTGGAGAAAGCCCGTGCAACCAAAAAATAGAGAGAGAGAGATGAAAAAAAAAAAACTTCCTCTCAAGGCAGTTGCTTTTTAATTAACACTGCTCTTAGAGAACACAGCCACACACACCACACTCAAAGGTGTTAGCTTGTTCCTGCACTCGGAGTCATACTACTGATATTTATGGGATGATGAGTCACTTGTATGGGCTGTTTGTTAGCAGATTCAGCAGAAGTGTGTGAATGCAGGTGTTAGTAAGCACTATCTCTTTATGGTCCAGCTGTGTGGCACATGCTCTAGGAAAGGCAAAAGGACTCAGAGACTAGTCACAAAGCGAGGAATGGTTTTGTACCTGAGTGTGTCACACATGGATTTAGTATATTTGAATTTAGTTTGGGAGTGTCACTCCTGCAGTGGTGAGAGGCCATAGGAAAAGATTTAGACCAGAAATCAGGGACCAGGGTTGCAACCTTGAATGCTGGTCTGTTGTGAAACTAAAGACAAACTGTTTAACCCTTTTGGGAATGACAGGCTTGCTTGTAAAAGACAGAGACAGACTAGAACTGTGATTTCCATTTTGGTGGAGGGTTTAAGGTTCTTTTTAGAACAGGTTGTTGCTAGGTATAGGTCCTTTCTGCAGAGAAGTGTACATCTGTGAATGCCAATATTAAGAATGCTGAACTGGGACTTCACTGGTGGTCCAGTGGTTAAGACTCCATGCTTCCAATTCAGGGGGTACAGTTTCTCTCCCTGGTCAGGGAACTAAAAATCCCACATGCTATGTGGCATGGCCAAAAAAAAAAAAATTTATTAAAAAAAAATTGCTGAACCAAATTATCTCAGAGATGCCTTCCATAGCCAATCCTGTCTGTCAATCTATGAAAAGAAAATAACAAAATGACTATGTTCAGCTTTGCACTTCTGATGACATACGTCCCAACAAATCTAGCAGGACTATTAGATCATCTGACACTGGGGATTGACTTTTTCTTTTTTGCACACTGAAGAAATTCCCTTGCTGCTTCTCAGGCTATGAAGTTGCAGATAAAGAGGGTCACCTCTGCAAAACGCATAGAATTGTTTCTCTGAGCCATTGTTCCTGTCCCCATCCATACCTTACTTTTAACCTTTTCATCTGACTCCTTCAATCTCTTTTTTCTCTAACTGTAGGAAACCTAAAGAAGAGATGAAATGGAGGATCCTATCATGTTTTAAGTGAGCTAAATAATTTTAAACTTTATATTGCCACAGTTGAATCAGAGGCCATAGAAAATAACTAGAAATTGAACAGAAATGAACATATCAAAATAACTAGAGTAGTGGTAGACAGCATTAAGAATGATTGATGAAAAATGATTCATAAGCATTTAGTTATAAAGCATGGACTTAATTTGTTAGGCTTTGCCACCTTGGCTATGATTGTACAATAATTTTTTGAGATATCGGAAAGTGAGAAAATAGGACCTTCAGGGTAAAACTACCATTGGCAAGGTGGGTATCACTTACAGGCCATTTCCTATATTTACTTCCTATTATTCTTTTATCACTGTTTCAGAATATAATAAAAATATATTAATTTTGTGTTACCTTGTATAAACCAATTTATGACTCATTCAGATTGGCCTTCAAAAGTGAAAGATAATTTGTGGTTATAAACTGATTACTCAAAAATGTTCTTTATAGAGACACAGCTAAAGCATGCACATATTTTTTAACATATTTTAAATTTTCTGCAGTATGTTTCCAAAAAAAAATTTAATAATATGGTATTAGTGGTGACTAGGACTTAACGCCCCCCCCCCACTTTTTTTCTTCCATGACTACATTTTTAACAAAGTGTTTTTGAGAGGTAGAGTTGTCCGCATGGAGAATTTAATCCTAGGCAGATGGTGTGGTGCTGGAATACACATTTCCTCCAGCAGTAACTGGGAAAGAAGCCACGATTCACGGCTGTTGGAGATAGGAGCCTCTTTAAATGAAGGGATTAATTGCACACACAATGATGTATAGGAACATCCTGCATTAACACAAAAACACTTGTGTATGTCTTAAAAGACTCTCCAAGGCTTAGCTCCTTTGTTTATTCACAGGGGTGATGGGCGAATATGAACCAAAAATAGAAGTGCAGTTTCCAGAAATGGTCCCGACCGCAAAGGGAACAACGGTGAAGCTGGAATGCTTTGCATTAGGAAAGTAAGTTCTGGTTTCTCTCCTCCATTGTCCTCCCTCCAGCTTGGGCAAGGAAAGAAATTTCTTTGCACTGTTCGCAGTAATGGTTTATGAAGTAACTGAAAAGCAAGCCAAGCCTCTCTCACTGTGATTCCATGTGTGCATCTTTGATTCTGTCCTCTCACCATGGAGAAGGGATGTGGCATGGCGTGAGAGGAGTTAGCTGCCACTGTGGACATGGCCACAAAGGAGAGGAGAATGGGCAGTTCTGAAAGTGTTTCATTCTATTACGATAACCTGTAATGTGGAGAAGGTAATGGCACGCCACTCCAGTACTCTTGCCTGGAGAATCCCATGGATGGAGGAGCCTGGTGGGCTGCAGTCCATGGGGTTGCTAGGTGTCGGACACAAGTGAGTGATTTCACTTTTGCTTTTCACTTTCATGCATTGGAGAAGAAAATGGCAACCCACTCCAGTGCTCTTGCCTGGAGAATCCCAGGGACGGGGGAGCCTGGTGGGCTTCCGTCTGTGGGATCGCACAGAGTCAGAAACAACTGAAGCAACTTAGCAGCAGCAGCAACCTGTAACATACATGTTGTCTGACCCAGAATGACAGGAAAACAGTGGCCTCATCTGAGGTACAGTGAAGTTGACTGTTTGGAAAAAGGTAGACTTTCACTTGGGTCCCAGCTTAGAGAGTGTGCATCAAACTTTTCTTGTATTTCTTTTTAAATTGAAAGCCTCTTCTTTCTAGTTTTTTGTTAAAATTTATTTTACTGAAGTATAGTTGATTTACTATGTTGTGTTAATTTTTGCCCTCTATCAGAGTGATTCATTGATGCATACATATGTTCTTTTTCATGTTGTTTTCCATTATGGTTTATCACTGGATATTGAATACACTTCCCTGTGATATACAGTAGGACCTTGTTGTTTATCCATTCTCTATATAATTGTTTGCATCTGCTAATCCCAAACTTTCAATCCACCCCTCCCCCAGCTCTCTCCCCCTTGTCAACCATAAGACTCTTCTCTATGTTTGTGAGTCTGTTTCTGTTTCACCAGTTCAGTTCAGTCACTCAGTCATGTCTGACTCTTTGCGACCCCATGGACTGCAGCACGCCAGGCTTCCCTGTCCATCACCAACTCCCAGAGCTTGCTCAAACTCATGTCCATCAAATCGGTGATGCCGTCCAACCATCTCATCCTCTGTTGTCCCCTTCTCCTGCATTCAGTCTCTCCCAGCATCAGGGTCTTTTCCAATGAGTCAGGTTTTGCATCAGGTAGCCAAAGTATTGGAGCTTCAGCTTCAGCATCAGTCCTTTCACTAATTATTCAGGGCTGATTTCCTTTACAATTGACTGGTTTGATCTGCTTGCAGTCCAGGGGACTCTCAGATAAGTTCATTTGTGTCATATTTTATATTCCATATATAAGCAATAGCATCCTCTTTCTACTTTGGCTAGAGATTGGCAAGACCTGATATTCTCTAAGGAGTCTCTGTTTTACAGAGTCATCTGAAAATTATTCACAATTTTATTATTCAATCTGTGGAGTTTTCTCAGTTAAGCCTACTTGGGAACCAGTTAAATTTTCCCTAGAGTGTCTGTCAGAGGGCATAAAGAAAATGAAAAATAGATCAGTTAAGATTTTGCCGGTAACCCTGCAGAAAAGGTTTGGCATCAGTGATAAAAACTTTCACCTGAAATAAGAATTTTTAGTCATCAGTGCACTTTAATGATGCATGTGAGTCTCTGTGGCCAACCTCATTTATCCAGCTAACCCACTGCCAACTCCTCACCCTTTTCCTGGCCCAGGTGGTGGCTAAGGCAGGGACACTAACTTTGGCTCAGCGTCTGTTTTAGCAAGGAATCTTGATTCATATCATTTTGTATTTCACAGCAACCATGCAAGAAAGTTGTTCCATTTTTTTCAATTTTATTTTTAGTTCTATAGAAAGGATTCTTTTGGCTGTCCTGTTTTTAAGTCAGGGCAGTATACCCTACAGTAGTATCTTTACTTGGGGGCCGAAAAATACAGTGCTCATTTTTTGTGTTCTGAAAACTTACTCCATTAAATAAATTATGACACAGCTGTAGGATTGAACACTGTACTGACATTAAAAGTCAAGTTGTAAAACAACATGTAAGACCTGGAAAATGCCCATTTATTGATCACTAAGAGACTAAAAGTAGATTGCTAAATAGTCGAAGATGGTCCCATTTTTTATTTTATATATGCTCAGTTGCTTCAGGCATGTCTGACCCTTTGTGACCCCATGGATTATAGCCTGCCAGACTTCTCTGTCCATGGGATTCTTCAGGCAAGAATACGGGAGTGGGTTGCCATGCCCTCCTCCAGGAGATGTTCCAGACCCAGGGATCGAACCCACATCTGCTGCATCTCCTGCATTGCAGGCAGATTCTTTACCACTCAGCCACCGGGGGAGCCCATTTTTATATATATATTTTAGGAAACTTAATGCACAGAAAAGATGAAAGAACGTAACTGGATGATATAGGAATGTATTTGGTGAGTTCTGCAAGGTGACACCTCGAAAAATCCCTGGAGAAAGACAGCAAGATTTATGTTGTTCCCACTTTGAAAGGGAGTATGAATTAAACTCCATTCACACTACTTGAATGGCACTAGAATGAAAACAAAGGACCCAAATTGGGCTCCTCCAAGTCTACACAGAAGTGTCTGGGTACACACAAGCAGCTGCGGAAACACATCATCACGGCCCACTTAAGAGCAGAAAGACTACATTTAAGAACAGTTATTTGTACTGGCACGTTGTAACTGTCTATCTCATCACATGTAAAGATACCCATAATGTACTTTTGATAGAGCCTTTTCCGTATTTTGAGTTAGTTTCTGCCTGATGAACTTAAATTCCTCTAAAACAAGTATAGTCAAGTTGATGGCTCTAATTTTTTAAATACCATCTCAGGTTTCCCAGAGAAGATTAGCAAGTCTTTAGTCTAGTTTCTTGTCTGTGTGTGTCTTTGTGAAAAATAAATAGGTAAATAATTGTATCCCCTGCTAGGAAGCCACAACGCAAAAGCTGTGGTTAGCTCACTAAACCATTGATCTGCAGATTCAGTAATGCCCTTGCCATTTAAGATGCATTCTAACAGTTTCAGCTGCAGGATGATAGATGCCTTGAGAGTACTTAAAGTCCCCACAGGTTGCCTCTTTCCTTATCTCGTTATTTTAAGATAACTTTCCCCAAACCACCCTCCTAATGGACTGCTAGAAGCTGGTAGGGGCCCACAGAGGGTGTTCCAAGAGGCAAAAAGCGAAGCTGCCAGTTTCTTATCCACTGAGCCTTGAAACTGACACCACATCACTTCTGTCTTATTTCAAGTCATAGTAGCCACCTGGTTCAGCGGAAGGGGTTCTGGACCACATCTTAGTGGAAGGCGTTTTTAATTCTCCACACTTGTACATGGACTTTCTAAAATTTTCATATTTATGATCTTAAACAGATGCACTGGAAAAAACGTAACAAGCATATAAAAATCTGTTTTTATTTCATTGGTAATATTGTATATTATATGGAATACCTTCTTTAAGGTTAAGAAAGGTTATTTGATTTTAAGGGCTTCCCTGGTGGCTCGGCTGGTAAAGAATCTGCCTGCAATGTGGGAGACCTGAGTTCAATCCCTAAAGAAAACACAGAGTACATAATATTACTAGAGATGTATCGCTGAAATCATAATAGTGATACATGAATAAATGACTTTTGGGGAACACTGTCTAGTGCCAGCTATATAATGTTTGGAGCCAAGAAGAAAGGGATTGTAACAAGCATAGATTCAAATAAAAGAAAGTTTCTCTAACATGATTCACTCCCTTTTTTTCTTGCTACCAGTCCAGTACCAACTATTATCTGGAGAAGAGCTGATGGAAAGCCGATAGCAACCAAAGCCAGAAAACACAAGTCAAATGGGATTCTTGAAATCCCCAATTTTCAGCAGGAGGATGCTGGCTTGTATGAATGCGTGGCTGAGAATTCAAGAGGGAAAAATGTAGCAAAAGGACAGTTGACTTTCTATGGTAAGGTAGTGATTCCAGTTTATCATTTGTTGACCTTCTTGGTATTAAAACCCATAAGCTAGGAGATTTTCATTCAAGGTTCTTCAGAAGGATTGTTCAAAATACCATTGTGTGAAACCCTGTTTGCTGCCTAATTATCACCCCCTGGGTTGCTCTGGGTGGGGAAGGGGAGGGTGGGGGCAGTGGTGTGGAGACAGCAGAGCGGAGGATACAGGCTGATGTGTTGAGGGATGGATGTTAGTGTGAACACACTCACAAAGGACCTATTTTTCCTGCTGCCGTCAAGCTGCAAACCTGACAAGGGAAATGTTTTGTTATCCCTCCTCCTGATTTATTTATTTATTTCTAAAGCTCTCCGCTCTTCTTCATTCAAATTTTGACTTGGAGCTCGTGTTAATCCCTGGTAATTGCTCCTATTTGGTAGCGATTTAATGTGGTACCACGAACATTTCAAAATGCATGCTGTCCAAATTTAGTTCTTATCAGAGTGGAGCGTGACAAATCTCTCTCACCCCACAGACTCTTTTCTGTGCAGCTGCTCCTATTTCAATCAAATCATCGGCATTGATCCAAACAGAACACAAATGTAAAGCCTCTAACACATGGTCATCCATTGAGCCTGTCTTGGAAACCCAGTTAGGATATCAGTTTGGAATCAAGAAAGGGATTTCAAAAAAAAAAAAAAGGATTTCACTGGATAGGCATTTTGAAATCAAATTGAGTTCTCCCAAGTTGGAACATGCCTGAATCCCATGGAGTGTTGAAAATAAATATTATAGATTGATAATTATTTAAGAATGGCTTAGGTGAACAACAGTGTATATTAAAGGGATAAGAGCAGTTCTTTAGGGGCAAGTTGTAGCAAAGACTTTAAACCTTCTGATGTCTTACAACAACTGATATACCACAAAAGTCTATTTATATCATCAGATCTTCTTCCAGAGCATTTTGGATTTCAGATATGGGGGAAAGATTTTGTTCAGTAGTCATGTAAGATTTTTTTAGAAGCATGATTGGAAATTGGATGGAGCTTTTGAATATCAGCTAGCCTTCAGCAACCTCCCCATCTGGCATTTTGGACTCGTACCTGACGTTGCCCAAGGGATAAAAGAATACACATGATGTTAGGCAGTCCTTCACATGATGACTTGAGTACCAATTGTTTAAATAAATATGCACCTTTTAAAAATCACCCATCTTCCTTCAACAATACTAAAAGATCAACTCTACTCATGCCAAATGACAGACCTGATGCTTGATCTTTGCTCTTTCATAAACTATGATGGTTGACACCTTATTTGATTGGTTGAAAAGCAGAAGACATCACAGTTCATTGCTAGAAAAACTTAAGACTGAAGGTTACAGATTTGTTCAGTGAGATGCAATCACTGTCTTTTTTAAGTGTTTAGGGTACATTTTTCTCATTAGTGTAATAATCATTTCTCCTACATCAAGTAGGAACAACCTGAAAATGTTCAGGTAAATGGCCTGTGTTTTCCTTTTTCAATTAGTTAGATTGATTTTTCCTTTCAGTAGTTGTGATCCCTAAATGTTAGTTGTGTTGCTCAGTTAATTGAAGTAATTTTTCACTTTTATGGTTTTCTTTGAAGTGAAATACCTGTTTTTCAGTACATTAAAAATGTAGGAAATATTCTGTCACCAGGAGTTGGCATAGTGCTTTCTAGTAGGTCTTAAGTTTCCTACACTGGAAACAGAAGATTCCAGAGTTAGTCTTCTGGAGAATCAACCTTATCAATAACCTTCTGGAGAAACAATGAAAGGTTTTCTGGGACCCAGCCTTGGAGATGAAAATCTGATGCTAACAGCGTTTCCCTTTTAAATGAAGTCATCTGCATTCATCCATGGGAAAAAAAGCCAAATGAAATGTGCCTGTTTTCTGAAGATAACTCAGCTTTTTCCTCCGTTGTCAACCACCCTAGGTGTTAGAAGCTTGTCAGATCAGTTGACTTCATGATGCTGAGCTGTTGCATCTTTTTTATCCTTTTGTTTTCCCTCAACTAGCATATCAGTGACACGGAAATTATCCAATTGTTTTCATTGTCACAGGAGAGCTTAATTATGCAAAAGTGCTTGGCTGTCATTTTTTTTTTTTCTGTGTGGTTTCTGTTGGGTTTTCTCAATACCGTGTTCCCAATATCCAGCTGCCTAAATCTCCAATTTAAATGAGTTTTTATAATTAAAATCACCATATATATTTCACAAAAGGGGAGAAAGTAGCCCCAGTTCCTTATCCATGATCATGCTCTGTTTGTGGACAAGAGAATGTCTGACAACGTTAAGATGTGCTGTGCTTGGGGACGATAAACCTTGGGTTTCAGCTTAGAGACCTGCTTGTCCTCTTTGGTTCCAAGTTGCTGTATCCCATTCATCCACTCTTCACTTGGGAAACCAGACCGGCGTGCTCACTTCTGTTCTGGCCTGACAAAATGGCAATTTTCTGATCCCACACTGAAACCATTTAACCGTCCTCCAAAGGCCTGCTGAGCATGGTTTCCTTGCCCCTACGTTCCCTCTGTAAGGGTCATAGGAGCCTGTGTTCCTGGCTGGTGTGTTTCCACTGTGATTGTGTCTTTAGCATGTGCTACTCATGTTTGGGAAGAATTGAAGCTAGTTCAAACACGAACATTTTTACCCATCTCCATCTTCCCGAGTTATTTAAGCCATGACCTGAACTTGTCTATGTGGTTTAATCTGCTCTTTCAGGTATTTTTCAGTGTTAAAAAACTTACTAAAATAGATGTTATATTTTCAAGGGTACTTTCCTACAAATCTTTGTCGCTTAAAGGTTGACATTTTCTAAAATGACTGTAATATATTATTAATTTGTTCGAATATATATTTTTTTTATTGCCTACCAGGTAGCAGAGCATTAGATGCTTAGGACTCTAAGACAAACCCCTGTCTTCAAGGAGCTTTTCTTTCACTAGAAGCAGACAGGCAATTCACTATTATGCAAATGAATGAACTAGAAAACTTCATAAAGTGATTAGAGCTATGAAGAAGGTGATTAGGATGATACGATAGCAAGTGACTAGGAGCAGAAGAAGGACTTCCCTGATAGCTCAGTTGGTAAAGAATCTACCTGCAATGCAGGAGACCCCAGTTTGATTCCTGAATCAGGAAGACCCACTGGAGAAGGGATAGGCTACTTACTCCAGTATTCTTGGGTTTCCCTGGTGGCTCAGCTGGTTAAGAATCCGCCTGCAATGTGGGAGACCTGGCTTCGATCCCTGGGTTGGGAAGATCCCCTGGAGAAGGGAAAGGCTACCCCCTCCAATATTCTGGCCTGGAGAATTCCATGGACTGTATAGTCCATGGGGGTCGCAAAGAGCTGGACACGACTGAGCGACTTTCACTTTCACTTTTCAGAAACAGAAGAAAGACTTCATAAGATAAGTCAGTCAGGAAAGACTTGTCTGAGATTTGACTTCTGAACTGAAACCTAAAGGGTGAAAAAGAGCCATGCTTTCAAAGGGTAGTGCTTTCCAGGCAGAAAGTAAGGAAGTGCAGAGGCCCTGAGGCAGAAGACTACTTAACAAGTGTGAGGTGCATCAAGGAAGCCAGCGTGGCTAAATCCTAGTGAGAAAGGATAAAGGGTTTGGAAACAGAGGGAGGGGCAGATTAGGCAGTACTTTGTAAGCCAGGCACTAAATTTGGGTTTTATTCTGATAATGAGAAGCCACTGTGAGATTTTAAATGGGGAATGACTCGATTGTACTCATGCTTTTAAAAGATCACTCTGGTTGTTCTGTGGTGATTAGATTATAGGGAACCAAGAGTAAAAGCAGGATAAGCAGTCAGAAAGCCAACCAGGTGAGAAATGATGATGGCTAGGAAGCAAAGAATAAAAATAAATGGAGACTTGGCATGTATTTTGGACTTAGAACCAGTAAGACACTTTTTTGTCATTCCTACACTTAGCCATTTTCTAGATAAGGAAACTGCTTTCCAAAGAGGTATTCATGTTACTGATTGAAGCTACATAGTAAGCAGAGTGAGTGATAGTCGCTCAGTCGTGTCCGACTCTTTGTAACCCCATGGACTGTAGCCTGCTAGGCTCCTCTGTCCATGGAATTATCCAGGCAAGAGTACTGGAGTGGGTTGCCATCTCCTTCTCCAGGGGATCTTACCGACGCAGGGATGGAACTCCGGTCTCCTGCATTGCATCTGAGCCACCAGGGGAGCCCATAGTAAGCAGAGCTAGGTTCCAGATGCTATGCCTGTTCTTTCATGCTGGAAGTTCTCAAGCTTCAGAGTGCAGTTAGAATAATCTGAAAATTTTATTAAAGTACAGAATACTGGGTTCTACTCCCCAGAAGTTCTGATTTTGTCGGGCTAGCGTAGGAACCAAGAATTTGCATTCCTATGAAGTTTCCTGGTTGTGCTGATGCTGCTTGTTTGAGTCCACAGTGCAAAAGCCATTGCTCTTGTGCTGGGTTGTTTCCAGGTGGTAGAGTGAACCCTAAGAATAAATTACTGCAAATAAAGGTGTTCCTGCTTCCCCTGAAAGCTCGCAGACTTCTGTCACATCAAGTATTATGACCCGTCTACATAGACACAGTGGAAGGAGGATGCTACAGTAATTATCTTTGAAAAAAGGAGAGGGAGGTATAAAATGGATTTAATTCACTTGATAATTATTCATCTTTCCACCTCATTATGTCTGTAGAATTCCTTTTTGCACAAATAGACCAGTGGAATAACAGTCATCATTTAGAAAAATGAAGCATGAGCTAAATTTCCTGATATTTAATGCCTTTGTACAATTTCTCCTAGATGTAACAAGTGTTAAGAGAGTAAAGTCATTTCCTCCATGAGAAAATAGGGAATATAATATTCAAGCAGTGAACAAGACTGTTTTTCAATGAGTCTATAATGTTTAAGCTGGAAACTGGAAGGATCTGTTGGAGCCAACTCTTTGATTTTTACAAAGTTAGAAATAAAGACCCAGAGACATAAAATAACTTACCCAAGATGATACAATGAGTGAGAATCAGAGATCTCATTAGACCTGTTCTGTGTTCTTTGTCTTGCCAGTAAGACATTTTCACTAAATAGGTAAAGAGGAAAAAAATCCATCAGTCATTCAGATACTTTATCTGCTTGTTTTCCACAACCAAAGTCATAAATGAAAACATCCATGTGAACAATTGACTTTTTCAATTCCTCTTTTCTAAGGAAGTGACTTATAATCACCCTGATTACTGAGCCAAAAAGAGCTCTTTTTATTTTCCTTTCCAATTTACATCTGTGGCTGTATGTCAAGACCTTGTGCGCTATGGGCCTTTGGCTCTAAAGGCAGAACTGTGGGCTTCATGACCCTGCAAATGGTATGGGAGGATATCTAGTGTCAGAATATAGAAGCATCATGTAGTATGGTGTACTAATTTCCCCATAGATGTGCTGTGTACGTGAGATCACTAGCTAATATTCAGCCTCACAAAGTGGCTTAAAGGATAGAATGACCAAAAGAATGAACACGGCAGATGAGATAATTTTGCACTTAAGCAAGACTCTGCCTGTTTGTCCCAAACAGAACTGATACCAAGACCCTTAATATCCTTGAGTATAGCTTAAGATAGATTCATCTTCTCTAAGACTGTGTAAGCAACCAGAAATAATTCTGAATGGCTGCAGGTAATCATTCTAATAGCAACTTAAATTATTTTCCCCCATTTTATCTTTTCTTTTTTTCCCTAAGGGCTAAGGCTCTTGATGGCTTTTCTTTCTATTAGAAATTTCTGATTTTGGACAGTCAGAGAGCCAGATACCTCTGAGAACTGTTTGACCACTAAAGTCAAATTATATCTGTCTGCAATATAATTGTTATTGGACAAGATGTTTACATGATCCCAGTGGCTGGATTATGCATCGACTTAGGTCATTTCTGGCAGTTGTTGAACAAAAGATTGGAATGAAGAGCTTGTTCATTTATGCCAGAGACTAACAATGTCATAGAGTCAAGTAAAACACAATCATTTAACCTTGTATTTGAATTTGTATCTTGAGAACAAGACTAAAGATTCGCTTTAGAGGAGAGATTCTTCTATTCAAACCTTGAAAGAATATAAATGGCCAAAACAGATGGTTCTGTTTTAATATGTGAATATGATTAATTCTGTTTAGTATTTGGGATCTACATATATATAATGCCCAAAAAGCATTTAGACATAAACTTCTTTTTGAAATAATAGGGCTGAATTAACCTGTTCAATCCTTCCATGAGCTATTTTTTTTAGACATGGTGTTTTCAAAAGAACCTAGGTATTAAGTGATAAATACCATGGACCCACATACACTATCCAAAAAACAGTTAAAGGAAACAATATTTTCTCTTATGCACTAAAGTGGACCATTTGTTATCCAAAGACTTTGAACTCGGTGACCCAAAGAGATATGTAGATATATGAACAATTTCCATCAGGTACAAAACTATTCTGTTACAAAAAAACTCACTCACTTAGATAAGATTCATCCAATCTAAGTGAGTGGCAGGAGAAACCTTCACTGTGTGGGTTTTTGCCCTGTAGATCTGCAATTGGCATGTTAAAAGAAAGATTACCTCATCCTTTGCCATATATATAATACAGTATTCCATTCTCAATCCCTGTGGGCCCCTGTCCATATATTGACTTCAAGAGGAATGTGTTTTTATCATTTCAAATTTAGCTCCTATGAATTCATTTTACTTCAGGAGGAGTAGATTTTTGTCCTTCAAATCTGGTTTCTGAGAATTAATTTTACTTTAAAAACAAAAAAGGAAAGTATCTGACGATGTCTCACAAAGACTGAATTTGCTGTTGATTTCACCTTGACCAGCACAAACCACTACCATTGAACATTCTTGTTGAGCACCTTAACCTCTGTAACCCTTTTCGAAGAGACATATTGAGCGCTCAGAAGGGTTTAATTAGTTAGAAGTTTGCAAGGGCTTTTCAAAATCCTCTCAAGGCCCTCCCTTCCCTTCTCTTCTTCCTATCCTCTTTGAGATTGCAAGGTTGTGTTTCCAGCTTTCTGTGTTTTTGAAAGAAAGCCATGAATAAGCCCAAGAGTTACAGGAAATCTATGACATTGAAATCTCTGTCTCTGCATGTGGTTTTGATGTTTCCTTTTTGAACTTCAACTTGACATTGCTTCATAAGTTACATTTGCCCTTCCATTTTTTTTTTCTTCCTCACTCTCTTTGAAAAGTTTGGCTTTGTTGTTAATATTCCACACAGATTTCTATAGTTTTTCTTGTTTGCTTTGTTTTCATAGACCCTGTGGGGGGTAAATATTCAGCAGGTTGCATGTGAAATCAGGCACACAACTGCCATTAGCCTCATCAGTGTTGCACATCAAATTCTCCAGACAGAGAACTGAAAAGGTACTGTCTACCATCTGAGCTCCCTTTGCAGAGCAGCAGGAAGATAAAGAACAATGGCAGACTTACAGCTCCTTCAAGGATGAAGGTTACAACCCTGCGTTCAAGTTAATGCTTCTTGATGTTATAACTTGTTTTGAAAGCTGACCCTTTCAGCCTTTTGAAACAATGCATCATCCCCATCAGTAGAAGATTTGTAAAATTGTGTTTTGCTCTTTGAAAAACATGAGATTGCTTATAGATGGATAAAAGGAGAAAGTAACATTTATTCAGAGACCTAGGGACCTCTGCTGGTTAAGTGAGTTGTTTTTCCAGTTTTTCTTTTTTTTTTTTTCATTGTTGAGAAGATAAGCTTGAGCGCAGCACTAGTCATTTCCTTTTGAATTAAATTATGAATGATTGGTAACCTCATTGAATAAAGATACTGAGGTCAAGTCAGCTAAGAGATATGTTAAGAATACTGAGTAGCATCTTCTAATTAAATACTAATACCAGTTCTAACGATTGGGTTCCAGTTGGTAGGCATTATCCTATGCAAGTGCACAGTGCGAAGATACATTCCAGAATGACTACACTTTGCTTCTTCACTTTGGGCTGAAGGTTTTCTGCCTAATTACGTGTGCCATTATAGTTTACCAATAGCATGAGTTGTGCTTTAAGGAAGGCTTGATATATATGAAGACTTTTTAGGGAATGTGGGTTAGCACTGTCTTTATTACCCTTAGGAACGAGGAGAGAAAATGGGACTTTATTTGAAGCATCAGAAATGAGGCACAATTTTGGTGGTAGAAAGGAGTGGTACAGCATTCCCCAGCCTCTTTGGCAACAGGGATGAGTTTCACAGAAGACAATTTTTTCACAGTCCAGGGGTGGGAGGATAGTTTCAGGATGATTTGAGTGCATCACACTTATCATGCACTTTATTTCTATTATTATATCATTTCCCCCTCCAATCATCAGGCATTAGATCCCGGAGAGTTGGGGACCCCTGGAGTATGGCATTGGGCAGTGTGGGAATTGAGTGCAGTCTTGAATTCCTGTGTTAGGTAGGGCAGGAGTCAGTTCCTTAAGAAGGTTTGTGAAAACCAGGGCTCGTTCAGAGATTTGGAATTGTAAGGCCATATGCTAACAGAAAATTTTCTATCAACGTGAAAAAAAGGTAATAATAGAAAATGATGATAGTCTTGAAGGAAAAAGGAGTCACAAAAATTATTTATATGATGCGTGTGAGAGACACAGAAATATAATGGCTTAAAGAAGAAGTTTCTTTCCTTCACACAGATCTCTCCAAAAATAGGCATGTGGGTCTGGGGTTGCTTTATTCCAGAAGATCATTCAAGGTCAGCATCTTCATCCTTCATAGCTTCATCTGTGAGCCCAAGGCTATTTCACTTGTCATTTTCTAATCAGTGAGAAAGAAAAGTGAGAATCCAGGGCTTGCATCTTTAAGTCAGTAACCTGGAGGTTGCCCTCATCACTTCCACACACATACCACATATCATTGGTATGAACCTCATTCATACCAATTACCAATTACCTCTAGATGCAAACGAATCTGGGAAGTACAGTGCGTAGCTAGGAAAACATGAGCCCAGCCTAAAGTAACAAGAGTGGTGGTGGGAGATTCCTTTTATTAAAAGGAAAAAAATGAATAGATATTTGGGAGGAGGAGCAGTTAATTTTACCTTATGACTCGTGATAGTTTTGCTCATTTTGCCTTTAGTGATGGAAAAAACAGCCAGATAGGCTGCAAAAACAGTACATTCAGAGTTGGACATGAGGTGGAGTATTTTATTCTAAAAGTACCCACTGAACTTCTCCCCAGCTTTGTAATTGGCATAACTTCTGGAAAATTAAGTTTATCATAAACCCTTTTCTGTCCCTTGATTGCATATGACAAACATGAGTTGAACGTGCACTGAATGTATGTCTTTGCTTTGTGGACTGCTGTAGCTCAACCGAGCTGGAATCAAAAAATAAATGACATCCATGTGGCCATTGAAGAAAACGTCTTCTGGGACTGTAAAGCCAATGGAAGGCCCAAGCCTACATACAGGTGGCTGAAAAATGGCGAACCACTGTTAACTCGGGTAAGCAAATGAATGATAATTGTGTCTTAATATTGACTTCAATGTGGCGTGTGGTCTTGTTGCTATGGAAACAGAAAAATGACCAATTGTTTCCAAAATTATATGTAAAGAAATGCCATTAATAGTGGAACAAGTGAATGTGGTTGATAGAAACTGTACATAAATCCAATTCTCCAGCGTTGCTCAGCCTTGTTAAACATCCATACCAGATCTTTGGTCTTCAGAGATTAGCGTTACTGCCTTTACAATTGGAGAGTTATGCTGAAGGTCTGGATCATGTAATTGTGCTAAGATACAAGTTTGCATGTACAGGTGAGTGTATAAGACTCTCAGCATCCAGTTCTCCCCTTCAGTGTGGTTTTATATTGTCTTCTGTCTGGGAAGACTAATGAACAGCACAGTCCAGTACATTGACCAGCAAAATGTTCACTGTGCCTCAGACATGTAGCAGTGGCCATGTGCAAACTCGAGACTGACATCTCTTAAAGGAACAGAAGTGAAAGAACTAAAAGTGATGAGCAAAGTGGGAGGCACCAGTCTGTAGGCCCTGAAGCATGCAATAGTAGCTGAAAGCTCAGATATTAAAAATCCTCTTTGGAGACCAGGTTGCAGTATCCCTGTAGCTAAAGCTTAAGTGAAAAAGCAGCCAAACTGCCACCTGGCTTAACAGGACTCTGTGATGTGAGAGACGTAGAAGGTACCAGGCTGCACCTCCTACTGGCTCTGGGCAGGAACTGCAGTAGCCTCAGCATCCTCGCAGATCCCAGGACCCGAGGGAAGCCATGAGTCTGGTTATTTCTGGACCAGCAAGCCCAGGGAAGGGCTTCCCTGATAGCTCAGCTGGTAAAGAATCCATCTGCATTGCAGAAGACCCCAGTTTGATTCCTGGGTCAGGAAGATTCCCCTGGAGAAGGGATAATGTACCCACTGCAGGGCTTCCCTGGTGGCTCAGCTGGTAAAGAATCTGCCTGGAATGCAGGAGACCTGGGTTTGTTCCCTGGTTTGGGAAGATTCCCCTGAAGAAGGCCATGGCAACCCACTCCAGTATTCTTGCCTGGAAAATCCCATGGACAGAGGAGCCTGGAGGACTGCAGTCCATGGGATCACAAAGAGTTGGACATGACTGAGTAGCTAAGCACACAGCCCAGGAGGTGAGGTGGAGGTGGCCGCCCAGTCTGTTAAATGGATGGAAAGACAGACAAAAATAGCTCCTTTTCAAAGTATGCCTGCACGCCGATACTCCAAATCATATGCAAAAAAAAAAAAAATTTTTTTTTAGAAAGGTAGCTAACCTGGAGAGCAGTCTAACAAAGAAATCTGAATAAGCTTGTCAAGAAGGCTCAAAGAGATAGGAATCATGCCTATAAAAATAAATGAGGTGGAGGGACCTTAGAATGAGGAACAACTGTGTCCAGTTTAATTTTCCTTATATATTTTCCCACTGAATTCAAATTTTTGCTGAAATATGACATTTTCCCCAGACCCCAATTTGAGATCCAGTTTCTTGTGCTCTGGTTTCCTCCCCCATCAGCCCCCAGGCAAGAACAACCACTCTGAGCACTGGTCAGGATATAGCCCTCACAGCCACAGAAACAGGCAGAAATAACAAGCCTAGTCCACACTGTGCTGCCCTGTCACTGCAGGGCTCCTGCTGGTCCCATGACTCTCTCAATTCTAAAGGCCAGCCTCAAATCACTTGAGTGTAGGTGCCCAGGTAACTGGCATTTTCCTTCCTCTATTTAAGGTTAGGGGTCATGGATGCCAGGCAGCTAAATCACAACCCTAGGGCAAACAGGAAATATTTTACTTTTTAAATGGCAGGTCTCTTGGAGAAGAGGAGGTCCTTTAGGGTACTTATAAAAATTGACACCTCAAGTTATATAGGCTCAGGCTGATGAATGAGGATGGTCTATGGTTTGATACACTCACTTTGCTGTCTTCAGATTGGCTACCAGCTGATGGTCCTATGCTTAGATCATGCCACCAACAGCAGTCAAGTAACAGAACATTAAATTATCAATACTTATTCTTTATTCTTAGTAAACTTTAGCAACATTAAATATGTGTTTCTGCTTCATCCAAGAAGAGTACAGTCCTTTTAACCCTCAAAGTGTTGCCTGCTCATAATTTGAGTGTTTTAACTACTCTAAACAGTAAATTTCCTTGTATTTCCCACTCCTCACCCCCAGTTAGCACAGAGCCTTGGAGTAAAAAAAAAAAGCATTTTAAATTTAAAGTTCATCTGTTTAGAGGGGATATTAATCTGGGTGGTTTCACTATTAAATCAATGATAACTCAACAGAGTCCTATAATTTAAATTCCATTTACCAACTGATACATGGGTTGTTTCATTTAGCAACTGACCCGCCACAAGTTTAGTTAACAGATAAATAGCTCATGTTATGTAAATTGTTTATATGATGGCAATTTTCCTCCCATTAAGCCTCTTTGATATATAACATGTAGCAAAGATGCCTTAAGGTCTCAGTTATAGAAGGTCATTGTTTTGTGTTCCTCTTTTTTTTCACAGGATAGAATTCATATCGAGCAAGGAACACTCAACATAACAATAGTGAACCTCTCAGATGCCGGCATGTATCAGTGTGTGGCAGAGAATAAACACGGAGTTATCTTTTCCAGCGCAGAGCTTAGTGTGATAGGTGAGTCTTTATACTGGAAAGAACAAAAAAGTAAAAGCTTTTGAAATCACTAAACTAACATATGCTTTGCCAAGCATAAATATTCCATCCAAAAAAAAAGGGTGAAGAAATCTTTAGACTGAAGATATCTCTTGAGAAAGAAGCAGTACATTCTACAAGCAGTAAGAGGAGACCACTTTCTAGATCAGCTTCTTCTGATGCTTGCAATGGGTGATGCAGTTCTCCTGGCATGCATTTTTATTCCTCTATCAACCCCTCTTCTAAACTATGCAAAGTTTCTGAAATGTGTTGGTGTCTGTTGCTTTCTCTCTGGTTGGGTGTAAACTTGAGCTTGGAGAAAGGAAGAGCTGCCTTAAGTGGACAGGTTTGTTTGAATGTCAGGCAGAGTGCAGTTTTTTCACATCTAAATTTTCCTGACGATACACTACGGACTGCCCCTCCAGCTCCATCTTTCAACACATGCCCCTTTCCTTCTGTTCTTCAGCAGCACTGAGCCTTCTGAGCTGCTTGTTCACCACCTTCTCTTCCTCCACAGTCCACTGGTCCACACTGTTCCCTCTGCCTCAAATGCTTTTCTGTCCCCTCTTCATTTCATTTACTTCTTCCCAACTCAGAATTGATTACATTCTTTGCAGACAAAGTTGGAGAAGCTCTATAGAGTCAGCAAAAACAAGGCCAGGATCTGACTGTGGCTCAGATCATGAACTCCTTATTGCAAAATTCAGAATTAAACTGAAGAAAGTAGGGAAAACCACTAGGCCATTCAGGTATGACCTAAATCAAATCCCTTACAGTGGAAGTGACAAATAGATTCAAGGGATTAGATCTGATAGAGTACCTGAAGATCTATGAACGGAGATCCGTGACATTGTACAGGAGACAGTGATCAAGACCATCTCCAAGAAAAAGAAATGCAAACAGGCAAAACAGTTGTCTGAGGAGGCCTTCCAAATAGCTGAGAAAATAAGAGAAGCTAAAGGCAAAGGAGAAAAGTAAAGATATACCCATTTGAATGCAGAGTTCCAAAGAATAGCAGGGAGACATAAGAAACACTTCCTCAGTGATCAGTGCAAAGCAATACAGGAAAACAATAGAATTGGAAAGACTAGAGATCTTGTCAAGAAAATTAGAGATACCGAGGAAACATTTCATGCAAAGATGGGCATAATAAAGGACAGAAATGGTATGGACTTAACAGAAGCAGAAGATATTAAGAAGAGGTGGCAAGAATGCACAGAAGAAGTATACAAAAAAGATCTTCATGATCCAGATAACTGATAGTGTGATCACTCACGTAGAGCCAGACATCCTAGAATGTGAACTCAAGTGGGCCACAGGAAGCATCATTACGAACAAAGCTAGTGGAGGTGAATGAATTCCAGTTGTGCTGTTTCAAATCCTAAAAGATGATGCTATGAAAGTGCTTCACTCAATATGCCAGAAAATTTGGAAAACTTAGAAGTGGCCACAGGGCTGGAAAGGGTTTCATTCCAATCCCAAAGTAAGGCAATGCCAAAGAATTTTCAAACTACCATACAATTGCACTCATCTCACACACTAGTAAAGTAATGCTCAAAATTCTCCAAACCAGGCTTCAATAGTACATGAACTTTTAACCTCCAGATGTTCAAGCCAGATTTAGAAAAGGCAGAGGAACCAAAGATCAAACTGCCAACATCCATTGGATCATTGAAAAACCAAGAGATTTGAAAAATCTCTTGCTTTATTGACTTTAAAAACATTTGCTTTATTGACTACGCCAAAGCTTTTGACTGTGTGAATCACAACAAACTGTGGAAAATTCTTCAAGAGATGGGAATACCAGACCACCTGTCCTGCCTCCTGAGAAATCTGTATGCAGGTCAGGAAACAACAGTTAGAACTGGACATGGAACAACAAACTGGTTCCAAATTGGGAAAGGAGTGCATCAAGGCTATATATTGTCACCCTGCTTATTTAACTTATATGCAGAGTGCATCATGTGAAATGCCAGGCTGGATGAAGCACAAGCTGGAATCAAGATTGCTGGGAGAAATATCAATAACCTCAGATATGCAGATGACACTACCCCCTTTTGGCAGAAAGTGAAGAGCTAAAGAGTCTCTTGATGAAAGTGAAAGAGAAGAGTGAAAAAGTTGGCTTAAATTTCAGCATTCAGAAAACTAAGATCACGGCATCCAGTCCCATCACATCATGGAAAATAGATGGGGAAACAGTGACAGACATTATTTTTGGCAGGCTCCAAAATCACAGTGGTTGACTGCAGTCATGAAATTAAAAGACGCTTGCTCCTTGGAAGAAAAGTTATGATTAACCTAGACAGCATATTAAAAAGCAGAGACATTACTTTGCCAACAAAGGTCCATCTAGTCAAAGCTATTGTTTTACCAGTTATCATGTATGGCTGTGAGAGTTGGACTATAAAGAAAGCTGAGTTCCGAGGAATTGATGCTTTTGAACTGTGGTGTTGAAGAGGACTCTTGAGAGTCCCTGGACTGCCAGGAGATCCAACCAGTCCATCCTGAAGGAAATCAGTCCTGAATATTCATTGCAAGGACTGATGCTGAAGCTGAAACTCTTAATACTTTGGCCACTTGATGGGATGAACTGAGTCATTGGAAAAGACACTGCTGCTGGGACAGGTTTAGAGGCAGGAAGAGAAGGGAATGACAGAGGATGAGATAGTTGGATGGCATCACTGACTTGATGGTCATGAGTTTGAGCAAGCTTCAGGAGTTGGTGATGGACAGGGAAGCCTGGCATACTGCAGTCCATGTGGTCACAAAGAGTCAGACATGACTGAGTGACTGAACTAAACTGAACTGAACTGAGGCTGCCTCTCCCAACTCCATCTTGGCTTACTTAGGAAGCTGCTGTTACAGTTTTCATCCTGCCTTTTAATGCACCTTGATATCATGCTGCATTTGCATTTTACATTTGCTAATGTGATTTCTCTGTCTTTTTCTCTCACTGCACTTTTAACTTCCCCGTGATGTCTGTGACCATACTTGGTTTCACTCATTTGATCGTCAGGACTTAATGCAATATTGAAGCGTGTAGTATCCACTCAATAAATATTGAATGAATGTAAGAATGAATGACCGCACTAAGTGATGAAGAAGTTGAGAGACTGTTTTAAAAAATGAATTAATGAGTGAAGTAAATCTTTGAAAACAGTGGTTAAGTGAATTAACAAAGCTCTAGGCATTAAAAAAAAAAAAAAAAACCCAGACCATCAACTTGCATTTGTCTTATAGAAAAATCTTTACTCTCACTTCAGAATTTATCTTAAACTTCTAAGTGGCAGTTCTTCTTGGAGCATAATAGAAAGGTTATAAATAAGAGAAAAGCAACACACACAGAGAGCTGATTCCATAAGTCCTGATAATTTGCCCAGATTTGGAGTCCTGACTTGCCCTTCTGCAGAGAACTTCTTGGTGCCTGGCTTGTGGATCTGAAATGGATTAAGTAGATGCTCCTGAGTTGAATGCTAGTCCACCCATGCAAGGTAAAAAAGAAAGGAGCTGCTTCCATAATTGTTGTCCTCACCAGCTTCTTTACCTGAACCAACACCCAATCAAGATAAGAAATTTTGAGGATTCATGAGGTTGCAGTCTTTTTCAAAGAGGCCTCAGAGGATTCTGTGCTCTTGGAGTCAACATCAGTGTGGCTATTGTAAGGATGACCCCTGCATACATACCTTCCCCACTATAAATGTTAAGAATGATAATTCCAGCTTCCCAGGATGAGTACAATGGTCCCACCCTGGCCAAGTGGGCTCTGATTGTTGGTAGTTGGAGCTGACTGTTGTGGACCACAGATCACAAAGGTAGATCACTAGAATGTTATGCAGAAAGAAGTGTATTATTTGTTAAACATAGTGTCAACTGGTTAGAAAACATCTACAGTGGAGGGTGTGTGCCCTCAGGAATGAATCACATTGTCTTTAGACCCTCCAGGCGAAAGCTGTCCAGTTTAAAATTCTGGGGATGCCATTATAATTATAAAAGATTTTGTAGGTCCTTTTGTTAAAATAAGAAAATTTGATAGCAACAAATGACTGGAAATCACGGGATGTAATCTAGGAGTAAAGATATAGGATGACTACAGTCCCAAAAGCAGAGCCTGAAGTGAGAAAGGCTATTAAATAATTTTTTCTAGAGCACGTACCCAGAGAGGGGCATAACAGTACGGTTGCAAAGAGTTGGACACAACTGAGCGACTGAACGGCAACAATAAGATGTGTGTGTGTGTGCACATCCATCTCCAGATATCCGTATCTGTATCCATGTGCACACTGAGTCACTTCAGTTGTGTCCAGCTCTTTGTGATCCTGTGGACTGAAGCTTGCTAGGCTCCTCTGTCCATGGGATTCTCCAGGCAAGAATACTGGAGTGGGTTGCCATGCCTCCTCCAGGAGGTCTTCCTGACCCAGGGATCAAATCTGTGTCTCTTATGTCTCTTGCATTGGCAGGCAGGTTCTTTATCACTAGCACCACCTGGGAAGGCCAGTTTATATCTGTATCTATATATCTATCTGATATGCATATCCTAGGATCCTCACCAGATCCTTTCTCTTCCCCCTACCAAGGGTTCAAGGCCTTTGAGGTGATAATCACTGATTCAACGCTTACATTCAGGGGTTTATTTCAAGTCATTTTCAGTTAGAACTAAGTCCATTTGAATTCTTGGGCTGAGTCCTTTCTTAATTCCCTTGAGATCAGTAAGCAAGATCAGAAAAGATGAAAATGCCTGAGAAGTTATTTAACCCCCCTCCCTAATCTCAGCTTTATTGAGTGTAAGAACTGTAAGGCATGCCAGTAAATGATTCAGTTTCAAACAAGTGGTACAAATAGTAAGTCTTCCAGAAATTCTGGAGAGTTTGACCAGTGGACTGAGCTAGTCAGGTGAACCTTGAAAAATAATTTATATTTATACAGGCAAAAGGAAGAAAAGAACCAGGAACAATGCAGAGTGAAAAGACCTGAACAAAAGTTAT